ACCGTCGCCGCCTCCGCAATCCTGCCTCCGTCACTCCTTGCTGCCATTGTCGTGCCTCCTCTCCTTGCCTCTTTCGGTGTGAGTCCCTCTGCCACTATACTCTTCCTCTGCTCTCCTCTCCTTCATTTTCCAGATATGTGAGTTTTGGATTTTCAGATCTGGTTTTTTTCTAGTGGTTTTCTTCTGATAGTAGATGTAGTGGTACTCTACCACTACCATTTGGTACCTGGTAGTGGTACTCCACCACTACCAGGTAATGGTGCCAAATGATAGGTAATGGTATCAAATGATAGTGGTATGCTACCACTATCAGGTACCAGATAATAGTGGTACCAAATGATAGTGGTACTCTACCACTAGCAGCTACCAGATGGTACTGGTACCGTTGTATTGGTAGTGGTACCAGTAGTAGCGGTAGCGTACCACTAGCGCACTGATGGAGATGTAATTTTTTGCAGGTGACCGGAGCGAGTATTATTCAAGGATTTCGCCGTAGAAAGTTTGTCGGTCAGAAAGTCAGCCGATCAGAAAGTCAGTCGGTCGGAGTGGTGTGTCTCCTAGAAAAGGAAGAGAGAGAGTTATATTTATTGTAGGATTTAAATTTTAAAAAAGCATGTATTTAATATGGGTTTTTAATTCTCAATTTTTAATTAATACAAAAAAAATTAATTAATAAATTCGTTTTTTTGTCATACCCAAAATGCCATGGTTGTGAATCTCACAACCCAATGGGGGAAGTCACCGTATCCCACCCCAATGGCTCACTTTTTTTATGGATGCCACAATAGAAGAGGAAGTTGTGCCTCACGAACATTGAAACCATAATCAATGTATTCAAAGTCCAATGCTACACGCCTACAACAACGCAATCAAATAGGGGCGGAGCTACTCAGAGAGTAGGATGGACCCCGGCCCATTCGAGAATAGTCTCGACCGTAAGGATATTTAGATAAAATTTGGATAAGTAGTGCTCGACCTATACATTGTATCATATGATAGTTATGTAGTCTACTAATAACTAAATTAAATTTTTAGTCCAAAACAAACAAGTTCGATCCACAACAATCTCATTTTTGCTTTAACTTCTTCTTGTTTCTTAACCGAAGACGGTGTCTCCTAAGCTGTCATATTTATATAAATTGGTGGCCATTTAATCGTGCTGCGAATGTCCCATGAGCTTGTAAATGGAATGAAGCCATGAAGGTACTAGTACTACTCTGTCTTCCTCACGAACAGTAAAAAGTCAGAAATGCTGAATTAAGTTCATCATTCAATACCCTTAATGCAAAAGAGATAAATTTTTTTAATTAAACGATGTCATATTATTAATTCCTCATCACATTATTCATCAGTCATCTCATCAATTCATTATAACATGCAAGGTGATCAATCCCTAGAGCTTCAAAATCTATTTATCCGAATTCTTCGTCGATGCTGGCTCCGGATCCAACTCAGCAGCGATGGGCCCCGGCGGTGGGTCGTCCTTGTCATCATCCTTAGTTGGGCCGTCCACGTCAGCAAGGCCGCCAGCCGCAGAGTCCGCTGGCACCGCCGCGTCCTCTTTGTCATGATTAATAGTAATTGGAGGAGCAGGATCACCACTACCAATAACAATCGTCTTACCAAACAGCCTAATCTCATTAACACTACGGACTCTCCTGGCGAGCCGATCCCGCTCCTCCTCCTCGACGCCTCGGATCTGGGAGAACGACCTCTTAGCCGGAACCATCATCGGGGAAGGAGGAGGCGGCGGCGGCGGCATGGGTATCCCCATCAGCGGAGAATGGAGCTGAGGTGGCGGCGGTGGGAAGGGAGGAGGAGGGATTGATGCGAGTGGGACCGCATGGAGTGGTGGGCCAACGGGCCTGATGGGCTCCGCAGTGGGTATGATAGTCTCGCGGATTTGGGCTTGGATGTCGGCCTCCAGAAGTCTGTTGTCGGTGTTGGGGGCTGCTGATTGGCTGCTGCTGCTGCTGCCGGCGGCGGCGGCCCAATGCACGCATAGGGGGCAGGGACACGAGAGAGTACCCGACTCCTTTGGCTTCCGCTCTCGCGGCTGCGTCCACGGTGATCGTTTCCTGATTGCCTCGTCATACTGCTCTGCATAGGGATGGCAATCAAACCCATGGCTGCGGGTACCCGACCGCCCCATACCCAGTCAACGCGGGGAATCCCCGCTTTGACCGGGTATGGGGCGGGTATGGGTAAAACCCGCAAAAGGTTTGATGGGTATGGGGCGGTATGGTTTTAGCCTCCCCCGCCCCATACCCATACCCATACCCGCCCCACCAAGAGAATTTCTTCACATATCAAAAAATACGTGGATTAAATTGTAATCTATCAATGATGATGATGATAACTCGAGAAAATAAATAGTAGAAATGCAATTAAGTAACCACCTTAATCAAAACCTAATTCATTTCCCTCAATTCTCCTTCCACTCTTTCACTTTCCCCCTTGTCAACAAAATTATGTTAGTTAATTATTACTTAGTAAATGTATCAAGAGTTAGAACATAATAATTTAAAAAATATTATAGTCTATATTATGTATTAATGGGATCATATTCTTTGAATCGTATTTAGAAAATGACCGTGTTTTGTTGACTTCGTGATATAATAAGTTTGTTTATGGTTATAATTAAAACTTTTCTTGTAAGTTTTAGGTATAATAATGTTGGATGTACGGGGATGGGTATTACCCATGGGTACCCGAAACCCACGGGTATGGGGATGGGTTTGCAAAACATTCCCCGCATGGGTATGGGGCGGGTATGGGTTTGGGTATTTAAAGATGGGGATGGGGATGGTTTAGGCAAACCCGCCCCAAACCCGCCCCATTGCCATCCCTAGCTCTGCACCGCCAGCAAAAACGTGACGAGGAAGTAGAGGTTCGAGATTGGTTGGACGTTGTAATTATCAAGAACCAGTTGATCCCAATAACTCAAGTTGTTGGGAGAAGGTTATGTTGGATCTTATACCACTCTCTAACACGCCCCTCAAACGAAAGCCTACTCATAGGCTTGAAGTTTGCACAGGTCCACCATACCATGTGCTTGAAAGATAACGGTTAATATTGGGGGTCGTGGAGATTCGAACACATGACCTTTCGGTTCTAGGCTCTGATACCATATTAAGAACCAGTTGGTCCCAATAACTCAAGTTGTTGGAAGAAGGTTATGTTGGATCTTATACCACTCTCTAACAGGAATTGGATGGAGCGACGGTTCCGTGCATTGGTAGTTCGAGCTAGTACTTTTTTTCCTTGTAATATTATATAGGAGGGGTAACTGGCCGGTGCACTTGTAACGACGAGGCTGGTGAGAAAGACGATGGAAAATGTTTGATTAGATTCTCCGGTCAATATTTGTATATAAGGAAGTATAAGCAATGAGATTGGATATATTGTTACTTAAGAGTGTTGGTTAATTTTTTTTTTTTTTTTCATTTGACACGTTAAATGTTGAAAATTTGAGTCAATGTTCTTTTCAAAGATATGAGCCAGTTTGAACATATGACCAAAATATGTTTATCTAAACTATTGACGTTGATTTGTATAGTTACGGATTAAGTTATTCTTCGGATTAACTATGGATAGTACTGGGTGAGATCGAGCAAGCTAGAATGTGTCTTTTCTTTGTTTGGTTCTTTTAGGGTTTTGATTGAAATTAGTGTAAATTTGAATTTTTTATCTACATACGTTTTAAGAATTTGATCGATCGGATAAAGAGAATTACGATAATGATAAGATTTTATCGATCACATATATAAAGTTCAAAATAGGTGAACATTCAATCTTTGGATTAGCTGCACAAATTAATAACAGGAGAACATAACAAAAGTGGTCATGATCATCCCTAACCACCAAACCGTTTATATATCTAGTGGGTTGAGTTTGAAAAATATCCTCATCCACATTGATTTTAAGTGATTATAATGGTGGCTTTTCCCAGGTGCAATTTTTAGCTCTAAACTCTCCATTTTATGTCGAATGATGGGAATGATATTCCTCCAATAGATTATCGGTTTCTCGGCTATCGTCCATTCTTCCATTTTTGGATTGCTGAATGGTTGAATGTTTCTTTTGTTCAATAAATATCATAGTAGAATCACAAATTAGGATAGAGTTTCATCCATTTGCTTTCGATCATTAATTTTAATACTATTAAGTATTAACTAGAGAATTAGCACGTGCTACACAACGGGATTTGATTCGTAATTTGTTTACTCTGTTGTTCATGTTGAATAATATAATTTGATCATGCGTGTGTTTATTTTAATGTTGTAAAAATCGATGTTCATAGTGTTTGTGGTTTATCGGAAAAATATTATAATGAAATTTCACAAAAAAAGAAATGACAATGTTCTTGGCATGCCGATAATTTGGTTGACATTATCATTTGTAGCGTATTGAAGTTCCTTTAGTGGAGAGCTCACGATAGTTGTTGTGGTGCATCCGATATAGTGATCTGGAAAACTAAAAGGAAGTGCAACTTGATTAGAACCCAACACTAAATTAATGTCACGCTAATCATAAAAAATCTTATATCGCCGATAGTCTTAATGACCTACTTTGTACCAGTATAAATTTTTGTTATATTCGGTTATGTACCTCTATAAATGTTTGTTATTTTTGGTTTTATTCCATCATAAGACAATTGTAACATAGAAAAGGTTGGCTTCAATGCACGTTGTTCTTGGCACGAGTAACACAGTCATAATGTTTATGAAAAAATTCTAGTGATAAATTATAAATCAAACTTGAGGTGCTAACCCATTTTTAATTATACGTCTTGTGGTTTTGGCGTATATGTTATTTCACTATCAGTAATGTTCGGCAAAATTTGGTTACCTGTGAGAGTATGAAAGGAGTCCCTTCTTATATATCTTGGTTCCTGAACTGCTCACTATCGGAGTCCATGTCATCTGTAACATTTATAAGCACATTCATTGGTGAATGAATGTAAGGGAGGGTGAGAAATAATTATAGGATATTTAAACTTATTTACCTGTGTGTGATGTCGGTGCGGTGTGCACATCAGCAAATGTCTCGTGATACACTATATTTCTAGTATATGATTGTGGAACTTCACTGTCGTTGTCAATCAGTATATGCAAGCCGTCGGTTGATCTTACTCGCGAAACTGCTACGTACAATTGGCCATGACTGAACACCGGCTTAGGCAGGTAAACCCCCACTATATCAAGACTTTGTCCCTGAATCTTGTTTATTGTCATTTGATAGCACACTCTGACTGGAAACTGTCTCCTCTTCAAGGTAAAAGGCCAACGATGCTCAATGATATTGAGCACAATCCTAGGAATAGCAATCGGCGTCCTGTCATACGATCCTCCAATGATATTACCTCCGATGACATGTTCTCCCAAATTTGTAATCATGATCTTTGTTCCATTACACAGGCCAATTGATGGATTAAGATTTCGAAGATGGATGACTGGAGTGGAGACTTTCAATTGCAGTTCATGTTCAGGTACACCATTGAACTATAAGCTATTTAGGAATTCGGTTGGGTACTCCTCTTCCCACTTGCGGTTGTTTATGGTATCATCCTCTATCGAATCTGAACTATACTATGTCTTTGCTTCTCCCTTGACTTTAGCCAACATATAGTCATTGATCTCCGAAACTACTCGATTTGTTGGCGTGACTATGGCTCAATTATTGATGTAGTTGATATCCTGGAAATTATTATCAAAATCCTCATATACAACATCAGTAATTGCCTTAATTCTATTTTCTGTATGTGGGGTGAGGAACTTATCTAGTAATTGTATCCAGTCTGTAGCAGTCGATGAGTTGAATGTTGTGCTCTTGATTGCTCCATCCCCAACAAGCCAAAACCCAGCCTTCAAAAATTTTCCCATCATAGACATGTAGAAGGTTGTTTGGGTTTGTATTGATTCACATGTTAACTTTCAAAGGCAAGACCTTAAAATGTTGCCAAAGGTGTGATCTCATTAGAGAAGAATCGATACTTGCTTCCCGCCCTCCATCGATCACAACATGTAATCTTTATCTGAAATCACCACCAAGAAGAATTCACTTTCCCTCGAAAGGCTTATATCCCTCTCCACTTATGGGAATGTTCATGATGTCGCAAAATGTTCGATCAAGAGCCTCGAAAGCGAATCGACGTGTCATTGGAGCTTCATCCCAAACAATTAGAGCCGCTTCTTGGATTAGCTGTGCTATATGAGATCCCTTCTTTATGGTGCAGGTGGATGTGTGATCTATCTCAAGGTGGATTTTGAACCTCGAATGTGCTGTCATTGCATCAGGCAATAATTTAGCGGCTATGCCAGATGAAGCCACTACCAGAACAATCTTTCTCATACTCCTTAGCTTGGAAATTATTGTATCATATAAGAAGGTCTTTCCTGTCCTGCTGTGACCATGTAAGAAGAAGAGGGAGCCTTGTTCCAAACATACTGAGTTAATAACCACACCATAAGTATTCCTTTGATCTTGATTGAGGGAGTGAAAGTTTCTTGATGCACGCCTACTCTGTTCTCTGATGTCATAATCGAGTTGTTCAGTTATGAGGCTGTCGAGGGAGGTGTCGCAGCCATAAAGATCTGGAGCAAGTAGGCCGAAGTGTTGTAATGTGGTTGAGTAATAACTCAGCAGTCATTGTAGTTCAAGTAGCACCGAATTTCCCAAAGAGCTTGATGGAGGCTCGAAGTATCTGGAAGAGCTTTTCCGCGTTGCTTTATATGCTATGTCATCTTCCATTTGTTCCCAAAATTTCTCAAACAAAGTTAAAGGCTCTGTGATTTCGTAGAACATCAGCATTGAAGTGAATGTAATCCTTATTAGAGACAGGTGACCCCATTTGCATATTCCTCTAGCACAAATCTCCACTCTTCATCAGATGAAAGCAAGTAGGAATGGCAATGGGTCGGGTTGGGTCGGGTTTTGCCAAACCCAAACCCAAACCCGTGGGTTTATCTGTGAAGAAAACCCGGGGTAAAACCCACTGGGTTTGAAAACCTCAAACCCAACCCAACCCGCTGGGTATCCGTGGATTCATGGGCACCCACGGGTTTTTGCCGTAAAAAATTTACAATAACAAATTCCTATCAAAATTAACGTCAAATATCAATCTCTCAATACAAATTATCCATATTTAAAACACTATTCTAGAAAATTCAAGCAAATCACAAATTAACTATACAAATTGTTCAACACCAATCTAGAAAACTCAAGAAAATTGAAGCAAATCATAAATTATCCATAAATAACATGATTAATTGAAAGCTTCTTCCTTTCAATTAAGTTTCTTCACTCTCCACTCGATAACATCAACTTCATTCTACACAATTAGAAAGAAAAAATTAGACATATCTCCACAAACATAAATAAGATTAGTTGTTTAGAATATTAAATATACCTAAAAAATTAATCATATGGGTGTGGGCGGGTACCCATGGGTCGGGTTTACCTAAACCCAAACCCAACCCAACCCGGTGAATAGTGAACGGGTTTAAACCCAAACCCGGCCCAAAACCCGTCAACACGGATTTTACCCGCGTTGACCGGGTTGGGTCGGGTGGGTACCCGTGGGTTCGGGTTTTGTTGCCATCCCTAAAAGCAAGACAAGCTTTTGGAATGCTATCTTGTATGTGCGACATCGCACACTGTTGACAGTCCTAAGATAGTCAAAGCTCAAAGCTCCTCGAACTTTTGTTAGTAGCATTCTCAAATAGACCACATCCCCGGATCCTGGCGGAACATACACGATTCTTCCTATCTGGAATCCTCGTTTCCTTGCAAACCAATCTCGCTGTCTCCAGTCCCAAATATATTTATTTGGTATTTCGGCATAAGTAAGTGTTCTGGCCGCTGGATTGGTTGTGTTTAGGTTGAACCACTGGGTTAGCATAGTGTTCCCCACGTTGCTATTTTCCACTATGTCTTCTAGAGTTTGTTGCTCTCTATAAGGAATCATTTGTTGATCTTTGAGATGCACACATAGTCTTAGTACCGAAGGCGTCCTTTCATGTATTGGGAACTCATATATCCTCCACGCTGCTTCATATGACGATAGATAACGACAGACAATATACTGTTTAATTTCATCTACAGGAGGTTGTACATTTGTTGAATTGGCTGATGGGTTTGTAGCTTGGACGACAGATCTGTCCGGACCTTTGGTCAGGTATTTGAAGAGGTACTTGATCAGTCTCCCTTTGTGATAAATTTCCACATTGATATGTTCCTACAACCATACCAAGAGGTCTCTGTTGTATGGCACAACGTACCTGTTGTCAAGTTTTGTTCCTCCCTTTTCCACATTGATTCCGGTGTCCCTCCTTTTGTATACGATGTAACCGAATTGATCATATGTAGTCTCTGATGCAAAAGCTTTCGGAAAGTGTTTTGAGAAACGACCATCTTTCATGCACGACAAAGTATTATTTGATTCCCCACATGGCCCGTGCATCATAAATCGTGTGATGGCTTCATAACCAACTGGATCTATAGATGGGTCCGGTATCTCACTACTAATTATTTTGTCTGTATCTGCAATATCCTTGGGTTTGTTCGTGTCTGCTAGCCACACCAGAATATGAACATGACGAAGACCACGTTTTGAAATTCCATAGTATGTAAATCTGTTACAATGTCATCATAATTAGTATGTTAGTATTCATAAGAGATATATCTAGGCAAATTTATGTTGAAGCTAGATAGTGACGTTAATCATAGTAAATGACATAGACAACATTTAACTCAGCATACGAACTAACATATGTGCAAAGAATAAAGTAAATAAAGGGCATGCTGCTGTATAACTTTCCATTGGCATGATACAGATAAAATATATTCGAAGGTCACTTTGGGACAATTAGTTTGAAGAGTAATTAATAGCCGAGCAGTGGAAAAAGTAGGCTTTGTGATTCTGTAAGCAAGCAGCAGCATCAACTACATGACACACAGAGATATGGTTCTCTAATTAACCCAATGAAGAAAATAATTTTAGACACACGAAATCTCCTACAATACAAAGTAACCTCGCACACACAGGTATGGTTCTCTAAACAATCTAACTAAGACAATGATTCCAAATGCCTAGTCATACTAAATTTCCTATGGTTCAAAGTTTATTCCAAATCATAAATTATTGAATTACGACTGTTACCTGCAACTATTTGGCCGAATAATTTTTCCTTGATGAAGCGGTCTTTTAAAGCTCTTAACTTCATTTTGAAGACACGGGCCACTATGTGGGTCTTATCTTCACCTCGCTTTCCAATAGTGTCCTCAAATGCATGTACTATTTCGGGCCACTGTGCATTACATGTAAATGTAATGAAAAGGTTTGGATTGCCAAAATACTGACAAAGCGCCATTGCATCAAGGTATAATTGCTTCATATACCGTGGGCTACCTGTATATGAAGATGGTATGACAATCCTTCCCAAATTCTTGCCCGTTTCTTCACATGCTTGAAATGCATCATATAGTCCTTGAAATATTTTGGAGCGCAATATATCTTGGTTTTTCCTGATGAAGAATAGGGTATTTTGTTCAATGGAAGAGAATGCATCTATAATATAATGCTGCAAAACCTTTTTGCCCTTGATTAGTGTAGTGGCTACATTATCTCGATGTTGCAGACGGTATGAATAGTACTCTCGTTGAGTTATGCACTTCCTCTTAGCTAAAGGGTGACTTGCTTCTTTGACCTATGTTATTCCTGTATGATAGCCATCTTCTCCATACGGAAAGAGCAAAGGAAAATGTAGCGCATCGAATTTAGGGTTCAAGCTCGATATACATTGTAAGCCTTCACTTCTGTGGTTGACAATAATGTCTCTATCACTTTTATCTGGGCAAAAATCCCTTGGGATCAGTACAGCAAGCTCTTGACCACTTGGCAATTCATATTGTTCTGCACCTTTTACTCGAGCTCCTACAATCCTCAGACGTAAATTCTCGTTTGCATGATCTTGTAATTGTGGCCTTAGTCTTCTTATGCTTTTTACCAGCTCATTTGACTCATCAATCCTTGGACAATTTCTGGTTGCAAAATGCTGTTACCAGCCTATCTTGAACCTCAGTTTATGGATCGAAAACATACAATTGTGCGAATTTGGGTCTTTGTACAATCGAATGCAACAATGAGCCAATACAATGATAGTTCTCGCCACATATTATCAATGAAAAAGGCCCTCTTGAATTCATGAGTCTTGTATCGATATGTGCTCCAATTGATGTGAATGAGAATCTTGCATTGTATGGTCTACGATGTTTCGCAAAGTGTGTTGACATAGCATCCTCTAGAAGTTTATCCAGATACTGTGGCGTTGGCTTAAGAAGAGGCAATCTGATCTTGCCTCGTTGAGAACATAATGTGAAAATCGAGGTCTTGGTGGGCCTATTATAATTAAGTTGTTCATGTGGCCAGAACCGTGCACCACAGTGTGTGCAAGCCAGAGTGGGTAGTCCCAAGTCGAGGATGTTATCATTCAGCATAGGTGGCATAGAGGTTGGAAGATCTTCTTCTTCAATGCTTGTTGTTGTGTTGTCCCCAGTTTGTGCACTCGAGACTGGTTCTGTTGTTTGGTGATTTTCACATTGCAACCCTTGTGTTGGTAAATCTTCAGTATTGTTCCTTGTGGCATCCATAAACGTATTGGTTGGCGAGATTTATGGCTCTGTGTTCTGCAGAAGGTTCATGGATGGAAAAGAAAACATTCTCGAACGCCTGTCGATACTGATTTTCTTCGTTTTGGTAGTGGGGTGTGTGAAATCCATCGGTTGTTTGTCGTTTGGTTGTCCTCTGTTTTTCTGCAGCTGGCGTCACCATAGAGCTGGTATTTTGTCTGTGTCGCTGCTGCCTAAGTGCCTATTATGTGTGATCAATTTGTTGCTTGCTTGTGAGAAAACCCAAACGAAATTGAGTTGTTGTTGTGCTTGGTTTGGCATGTTTCGAATCCCCTTTGGTGTTATTTTATAGAGGACTCCGTTAAAGTAAAAGGGGTGAGAGGCCTTTTCCCAAAACGAGATGGGTTTATAGTTTCGTTTGGGTTGTAATTAACTTTTCCTTATTTGTTTTGGTTTTGCACTTTTTATTTTGTATATTGTTTTGTTTATGACTTGGTGATGGGTCGACAGACTTGTATGTTAGAGAAAGGTAATGAGTTTTCTTTTGTGTTCTTTGTGATTTGGATATGAGATGTAGAGGCCGCGTTTGAGTTAACAGAAAAGTTGGAAACTGATTTGTATTGATGTTGTTCATGTAAAGGTTTATAATTTCCAGTAATGTATATCGCTACCGGGTTAAAGAAGTCAAATAGATACAATACGACCAGAGAGAAGATAATCGATTTCAAATCCACTTGCATGAAGTCTTGGAGGTATGCAGGAGTTGTCGTGTCGCTGTTCAGTTTGGTCGGACCAAGATAGGTATGTAGGAGTTCATGAAGCTGTTGGATTTGCTCGCAGAATGAGAGTGGAGAGATGTTGGTTTCGCAATATAGAGCTTACGTTCTGCAGGGGTAACCTTCTATGATGTGTTCAATTAAGCATGTTAATATAAAGCCCTTTGATAGTGTTTTAATTTGTTGGTAGAAGTGGAACACATGATAAAAGCGGAGCTCACTTCGTGTTGCAGGTTGCATTAGTCGATGGAGTGGATTAAAATAGAAAGTAAAGACATATACGTTATGACAAAAATCTATAAGTGAAGACTGGATTGTTTGTTCCCAAAATGATTACCGAATATAAATCATCATACTTATAAAACTGAGAGTTAAGAGCCGAATCTAAATCATACTTATAAAACTGAAAGTGAATAGCCGAATTGTTTGTTCCGAATATATATCGTACTTATAAAACTGTTCTAGAGCCAAATATGGTTGTCTAAACATTGAAATTGCAACACTAAGTAAACTCCTGTGAGTTCTTAGACCAATGTATTCCATCCATAAGATTACGAATATTTTTGCGACGGCCGACGCTTGCGTTTCTCCGGAGCTTCAACTGCAGATGGTGTATTAGCTGGTTCTTTAGAAAATGATGCCGACGAAGAGCTTGTGTGTTCTGCATCTGTATTGACCGAAGTAACTCTAGAAACTTTTGTCTTTTTGTTCGCCGTTTTAGTTGTGCGAGTACTACAAATAAAGGATAAGTTCCTTTTGCTGGTTGTTCTGTTTGTAAGTAGCATTGACAGAGTTTCCTCATCGTCGGAAGATATCGAGTCAACATTGGTCACCTCAATTTCATTTATAGTAGGTGCTAAGGCGGTCCTAATTGGATTGACAATACCAACCAACAGATTCTATTATCATAATGCAAAAGCAAGGAGAACTACCATCTTTGTACAATTTGGTTTAAGTTTCAGGCCACTATACAGATGAATACCTTATTTCTTTTGTTGCATGAACTTTTGGAGCTACGTTTCTTTTCTTGTTGGCCACTGAAGAAACCGACTTCTCCCTGCAGTTTTAGTTTGATGGTATTTAGGGTCAGCAATATATATTGTAAGATGAAATCATTATATTTGAAGCTGGATGAACATTATGTAAATAAAGCAAAGATGTTAGACAGGGTACCTTTTATCGTCTTCTTTTTTAATTTGACTTGCTTCAAGTAATGGGACATCAGATACTGACATTGGCTTTGAATGTGATTCAATTTCCAAAATCATAAATTTTAATGAGTTATAAGCTATTATTTATGGCAAACTATAAAAGTTTAATTGGTGGAATAATATATCAAGATTAACGCACCTTTTGGTGGACTTTGAAACTAAAAAGCTCTGTTGACCAGTGTTTCCATGAGGAAGTCCATTGTTGCTATTGATTATGAAGTCTCCTGCCACACCATTGGAGTTATTTTTAGGAAGCTGGACCTGAAATTCCAAGTTGTGACACACTAAAGCTTCAATATCAGGTGGTAATATTCCCGTTCCATCTGGGTAGCTTTCATGCACTTCTGATGCTGCACATGCAAGTGATTTGTCAGCAGCTGGCCCGATAAGAAGGAAGGTTGCTTGATCATTACCATCATGGATAATTAGCCTGATTCGATACCTACAATCAGATAATAAAGTATCAACTATTATTGTTATATATTGGCACTAAAATTTAGAATGAATATTAATAACAATATTAAATCATATGCATCGCGGTAAGAAGTTGAACTTGTGAGTTTCATATTAGTATTGGGTTTCAGAAGCGGGTATCTGGTAGTGCTCTTGACACCAATAATCAGAATCACAATTAGCTACTGATTGATAGCATGAATTACAGCCTCGATATCCCCATTTTTTTGTGATTTTACAGCAGTCACGGTTGCTTTGCAGATATAACTTGCATTCTATAGCACATATAAATATTTCATGTTATTATATTATATAAATAATAAGAATGGGAAGCATTGGGACTGAAAGTTAAGCAAGATAATACTCACAAATACCGATGTTTCATTCTCTGCGCATAGATTTATGAGCTCCCTCAGAGTTCTCCTTGATTCATCGACATGTTTTGCTGCTTTCTCGGGTGTGTCATGAGTGGCTGGAATCAAATTTACGGTTCCCACAGCACCCTGTGCACTGGTCAGGGCAAGGACTTAGTTTTAGCAAATAAAAAC